TGTCTCTTTACTTCTCCCCTCACTGAGGTAGGCAACTGGTCAGCCAAATGGGCAGATCTTCCCTTGTTGCCCGACCAACGAGGTGAGCAGCTTACTGGGCAACAGATAGGTACTCGACCCGCCCTTCTCCTTGCCGCCGCTTCCCCTGCAGCTAGCTTACTCAATGGATCATCAGTCCGCTGGTCAGTAGGTAACTCCCGTGGCCGACGTTCTCCCTTGGGCGCAAGTTTGTTCTCTCACAATGCTCAAACCGTTCTCTTGAAGTCGGATCCGCCACCGCTAGTCAGTCCCCCATACCAGAGAGACCCGCACTAATCTCTTTTCCTACTGAATTTCATTTAGAGTCGAGCGCGGAGCCTATTTCTAGCCCCCGCCCTGCCCTTCTCTCCGCCTACGCCACTGTTGTCCTCTCCTGCATGCACCTGGCGCCCGCCCTCGTCTAAGTTCACCCTCCTTTTTCTCCCCTCCTAACTTCTATCCCACCACCCCTTCGTTAACGCTAACTTCAATGTCGAATTCGCCCGACATCCAACCTCCAATCAAACCCCTCCACTTACTCGATTTCGTTACGAATCGAGTGGGGAATTCGCTTTCCTTCCTTCCACCATAGCTTTACGCAGCAGCTTTTTCAACTAACCCTTTTCCTACTAATCTTTTACTAAATCTAACTACAGATTCGGGATCGCCTTTCCCGAAAACCCTTGTTTTGAGCCTCCACCTGAGTGATTCCGCCCAGGATTGCACGCGCTACTCTCTCCCCGCTGCGCCAAGCTCGCTGCCCCGCCATCTTCGTTTTCTTATCATGCATGCACCCAGCGCACTTTCGCGCCCGGGTTCATTCCCCACCTGGTGTTGTGTCCGGCCCTCCGACTTCCTTCTTTGCAGCTACCCGTCGCCCCTCGATACTGCGCTGCGTAGCGCTGCTAGCCCCTCGTTGCACCCGTCACCCCTCTCCTCACGATCTCTTCTTCCCGCATGTACTCGGCGCCCACCGTCGTCCGGGTTCATCCGCTGCTGTACCCCTGCGCTATCCCCTCCCGCTGTGTCGTGCTGCCTCCTACTTCTCTCTCCGCTTCCATCCCCGTTTCTTCCTTTCTTCGAACGAATTCGGCGGAAAAGTGCGTCTGGATTCCCTCCTCTTTGCGCCTGCCTACCCAGCCCTGTTGTCATCACCCCGACCTCCCTGCTCCCCGGTAGTAGTTAGCGCGGCCACGTCCTTCCCGACTGCCCCGATTGTCGAAACTTTTCGACGGACAAAACTCCCGGTCGCCCTGACCGATCCTCCACTTTAACCACTCTCCTGCTCCTTACGACCCCCGCTAGTCCGTTGCCCTGCCGGCCGCCCAAAGCCGCGCTACACAGGCTGGCCAACTCCGCCACCCTCATCTGAACCCGGCGGGACCCTCGACTAGGTCCCCTCCCCCTCTTGTGTGCTACCTTCACGCTGGGGTGGGGCCGCAGAAACCTCCTCTGCGCAGTTCCAATTGTAACGGGTACCCCGAAGGACCTAATCGCGGTGGTACCCCACCCACGGTTCTTCGAAACTTGAACTCTCGGTCGAGGCACCGCGTCCCAAGTCAAATGGGACCACGCACAATAACGAAAATAATAAAACAATATAAAAAAAGAAAATGGTAACAAGGGCGAAATAAGATAATCATAGCCCAAAAAATCCCGAGCAAGATGCGGAGGCCACAACGCCCTACCGGCCCCGTGGACCCGGTCCACTGCCGCGTCCATCAGCAAAAGCCGAAGGGGGACAGCCCCGTCGGGCCCTCAACCCCCTCAACTTTTCCATACGCTCCGCTACCGCCGCGCCAACGCCGCTGGCCTCGATCTCTACACTTCCACCGCAATAGCCCAATACCGTAAGCAATAGGGCTAAGCCCAAGCCTGGTGCAATGGAGCGCGAACTCCAATATGAGGTGGTGCCGCGCCGCGCTTAGGCCTGGGAATAACAGCTTGGGCCTTCCTGTCCAACCACGGCCGGCACGCCATCACCAGGCACCGGCACCAGCCTACTTGAGCCGTGCCGTGGCTATCCCACGGGCCACCCCGCGCGCCAGTCCTACCGTCGACCGTGCATGCCGACCCAAAAGCGGACTTTTATCCCTTAGTCAAAACCGTAGTACGGTCCAGGTTGGTCGACTAGGCCGACCGTTCACTCAATCAAAGAAATCACACGCGCGCCTTAATTTGCGCCCCCACATACCCCCTAACTTAGCCAGGGCGGGTCTCGGACGCGGTCGTGCCTCGCATGGCTTATTTCAACCAAACTCATTGTTCCCTGTCATCTGCAAAAACCCAGGGTGGATACCCTTGTAAGGGTATTCGCGCCGACAGCCTACCGGACTATATTAAGCGACATCCCCGTCGCTACACCAAATCAAAAGCTATAAATTTATCCACACTCCAAATGCTGACGAGAAAGGAATCCAATCCGATTAGCCGACAGACTCAGGGTTGAGGCCTCCAACACTCCATGCCGACATAATTATATGCTGCTAGGGTTTCAACTTGGGTTTCCAGTGTCCTGACGCTAGGACGCAGGTGTATTACGCATCAATACTACAGCATACGTTCCAAAGGCCACCTCAAACCATCCTTTTTTCTTTGTCCTAGACAAACGTCGACTTTTTGTTGGGTGTCCCGGTTAGACTCTCTCTCGTACGCAGAGTCATAAGGGGACGCGGGCTTTAGACGAGACCTCAGAAGGCACTCTCGCTTCCCTCACAAAAACCCTCACAATCAAACATATATATATACATAAATCTCCTTTCGACTCTTTCTGCAGTCTAGCACAGAAACGCTAGGTCTCCATCCTGGCCCACCATAGTCCGGTTGATCGAGCCAGATCTACGGCCTACCACATTGTTATCTTAGCGGCAGTCCCTTCGTTGGTTATGCAACAATAGGTTTTCTCCTGATAGGCATTCAATCAGAGCGCCCAAACGACTCGACTCGTATCCCCCGCCATTCCACCAGAGTAATTTCCTTGGGGCGTGCATAAGCTCTTAAACTCGTACTCTGCTGGTAGACGTGGGCCCGCAGCCAGGTTGTGCTGGCTTGCAGCCATCCAATAGGGGTTGCACCCTAGAGGTGCTAACTTTTACCGTTTAGCTTGGTATTCCCTAATATGCCTTAGGATTAGCACAGGTGTCTAGGCGGTGCGTCGCAAAACAAACTCACAGGGCCACTGCGGGACGACGCAGGGATCTGCCCTACTTTTAAGGGTATTTACCAGCCCCCTATGGGACAATATAGAGGGCACGGCCCCTTCTCACAATCACAAACAATCTCACCGCTAGGCTCACAAGAGGCCGTGGCCTACTGACTTGATCAGAGACAGCAGACCACACATCCCACGACATCTTTATGCACTAACTTGCGACCTTCTCGGTTCCACCAATGATTCCAACTCGTGATCCTGGTTCCTCTCGTCAGACTTTATCATTCAAACATTGTTTACCATGTCCTTAAATCTATCAGCCATTTTTTACACGAAGGGGGTCTCTATCAACAGGTCTCCCAACCACCCCTCTCTTTACAGGATGGACTATCACGCGACCTGGGTTACACTGCTGTCAATAAACAACATCCCCACCTTCCATAATCCGAGGGGGTCTCAATTATAGAACAACTCAACTGAGGGGCCTTCTTATGGGCCGTCTCCCCAACTTAAACGCAAAACAACTCAAACTAAGGGGCCAACTTATGGGTCCCCTTCACAGCTCAGCCATAAACATTCGGCATGGTAAGCATCTGTGCCTTATAGGCTCGCAAGACCCCTTAGGGTCCTCATACATCTGTCACAAAAACGACCGCGTTGCCTCCTCTTATACCCGGCCGTTCCGCCCACCCATGGGCAGGCCGCACGAGTATACCGAAGAGTAGACGGCAATTACAATCACACAATACACATACATGAGATGTATCCCACACATCTCTCACACAAAGCCCTCATTCATTGGGATAAAGCCACACGTGTGAGAGTGATCGTGATCGTCACAATAATAAGTCCCACAGAGTCTGGAATCAAAGATATACTCGGGAGCAAAATATTTCCCTCAAGTCTCAATACGACACTCAACTCAAACCCTCAACACACAACTCGTAGGGTGTATTTGGGAACAAAATGCCTGCCCCGAAAACACTAAAATGCTCACTCCACTGTCTCACTCCGCAAGATAAACTCACGTCCCAAGTGTCATGGACTCTCAGAACCTACTCAAAGATACAAATAAGAGTATCTGAATCACACAACTGAAAATGCAAGTCACGTATGTCGTAGATATCATACAACTAAGTCTCATCCCCTAGACCGTATCACACATAAAGCTCAAGCCGATCACACACCGCCACCTATGTTTATATAACTAGACGGGACTCGCCTGACTAACTCAGAGTATGTACACTCCTATCACGGTCTCTGCGTACAGAGGAGCTCTAATCCTACTGTCATATAGACGGACCAGTCCCTACTCACTCATAGCCTTCTGGATCTGTCTATATAACTGTGCCCTACCCCCATTTGGAGCCCACTCTACCACTCGCCCCTGCCTGTCGTACATTCTCCCACCACTCTCTGTTACTCTCCTAGCCGCCTTGTTCTTAAGGAACTTCGGGCATTCAAGAGCTCTATGTACGCCGTCCTTGCAGAAGAAGCACTAATCGTCCGATCTCCCCCGACACCTCCTCCTCTTCTTCTGGGACCCAGGCAACGGCGGCGTCTCGTTAGTTTCCCTACTCATCTCATGGCTCTGGGGCATACTCCATGACTCTGCCGGCCCCGCCTCCATCATCTGGGTACTCGGCCCTGCTAGCGCCTCACCGCCCTCGGGTCGGTACGTTGGAGTGTCCAATCTCAGTGGCCTACCCTCGCGGACTCCTCCCATCGCAGTCGCCCCCTCGTCCCTATGCAGGTCAGAGGGCTGGGGAGTCACGGCAGTCGCTGGCTCGCTCATAACTTCCTGCTGCTGCTCTGAGATGTGCTCTCTTGAGTCAGCTCCAGTAGCCCAAGAGCCTAACTGCGTCCTCAGCTCCCCTATCTCTGGCACACGCTCTTGGGTCTTCTATCTCTGAGGCTCTCCTGACGGCATGTCCAACTCCATAGCGACCACTAACTCATCCAGTCGAGACGCCTCTCCCCCCATTGCCTCCGGCTCAGTGGATGCTGCTGCTCCCGTAAGGGCACCCTCCTGCACCTCCAAAAGGATCGTAGGGGACTCCTCTGTGGGGCCCCCTTCCTCCAATGGAGGTTGGGGTCCCTGCGCCGGCTCGCCCTCAGGGATCTCAATCGTCATAGGGGTGGCCTGTTGCGAGGCCAACTCCGTTGGCGTCCTGAAGCTGAACCTCTCCTCCTCGGCCTCCCGCCGTGCTGCCGCCTCTATTGGGTCCAAAAATATCTTCCCCATACCTCCTTGCTGAGGTGGCTCTGTCGTCCTTTCCCAGCCAAAGAGCCCCTGTACCTCCTCCCCCTGGATACCATACCGGCTTTGCTCCATCCAGTCGACCACCTTAGTGGCCGAGAGCCTCTCCACCATCGCCGCCATGTCCCGGAGCCTCTTCTCCCATTCCGCTTCCTTAACTTCCATACGGGACCTCCATGCTTGATTTTCTGCCCTCTCTTCTGCCAGTTGGGTGGACAACTGTCCCACCTCTAACCTCGAGGCCGCCAACTCATCGCTGAGCATGGAGTACCGTTGGAAGGACGAGACCGCCACCTCACCTATCCTCCTATCTGTACGCTCAATCTCCATCCTGGCGGCTGAAAAATCCCCAAGTCCTCTATCTCTCGTGCCTCGTCCAATCTTGCACTTCCCTGTCCTACCTCTCGCGACCTCAGGCGAGCCGCATCCCTCTCGCTCTCATAGCTGGCCCAAGCCTCACTAATCCTCTGCTCGCTCGTCGGAGGGTCAATTGGCGGCTTTGGCGCTTCTCCTGCGACCTCCATCCTAAGCTTTTCGTGGTATAGCTCTTCGAGGCGTACCTGCACCCTCGCGCGTTTCTCTTCTTTCGTCTCCCCCGGCAGCCTCCCTGTCCTCGCCTCGTGACCCTCTCGCAGTGGATCTCTCGCACTTGTCCCCTCTTCTACGGGTGGCGTCCCTGGCGGAGGCTCCCCGGATGTCGGCACCTCCACATCCATGCATGCACATGTAGACTCAGTTAGTTGCGGCGCCACAGTAGTAGGTGTCCTCGCCCTCTCGCCCCCATCTGGCTCCGCCTGTGTCGGGGGTGGCGTAGTAGCTTCCGGTGGGGGCCCCAACATCTCCTCGCTGTCCGGTTCATGAATTCCTTCAAGCCAATACTGCCGCGCCTGTTCTGGCATCGGGGTAGGAGGAGGGGTATCATCCCCAATAGTGATAAACCCCTCAGTCTGCGGCTCCTCGGGTTCGCGAGACCCCGTCTCAGGCCCCGACTCAGGTGGCTCCTCCTCTGGCTCATCCTCTACTGGCTCATACCGTGCCGGTCTGCTCTGGTCCGCCCCCAGCTGTGACGCCCCCCACTGGGACGCATCGAGATGAGCCTCCAACCTGTCGAGTTGCGTCCTCAACGGCACCGCTTCTCCCCCCTCTGGTAACGTCGGCGACGGGCCCCGTAGATCACTGCCCATGATTCGGCGAAACTCCACCTGCTCGAGTCCATAGGTAGCGGGTAGCTCCGCCGCCTGAGCTGGCCCCGCGGCCTGAACTGGCTCCACCGCCTAGGCGGCCTCTGCAGGCCCCTCTCGCTGTGCCAAGGCCTTTCGGCCCCCTCTGGTCGTAGTGGTCCCTCTCGCCTCTGGGCCCCGTGGCCTCTTACTCCTATGTCGTCTCTCCACCCTGGGCTCTGGTCTCTCGGGCTCCAGTCGTCGAAACGCCTGTCTGAACTGGGCCTGGCAGTCCTCCCAGTCGTGTGCTCTGTCCCGGACCTGCCTCGCCAACGACCTCTCCGCCCTCCGTGTCCAGAGGGGCAGCATCTGCATCCACTCCTCCTGCCCAGTCCCCTGGTCGCGCATATACTGCTCATAGGCCGGGATGAACTCCTCCGCATTGCCTTCCTCCAATCGAATAGGCAATCCATCCGGTCCCATCGGCGAAGCCCTCAGCATCTGCATCCTCGCCTCCACATTCTGCCATGTCAACGCCTCCTCTCGAATGTGCGCAATAGGTTCCTCGAAGCGCCCAACTCCCCTCAGGTGTCGTATCCTTTCCAATGTAGACCAGCTCTCCCATGTCGCATGTGCCTGGTAGGAGTCCAGAAAAAGCTTTATGTTACCGTCGTCGAAGATAGGTGTAGACTCCCTCCCAACCGATCTGCGCGAGTCATCCCCTCTTGATGCTCCCTGAGGCCTCTATCGTGGCAGCGCACCCCTCCCGCCCCTCTTCATGGCTGTCTTCGAGAAGTCAGACCTGCACAACAGGCGAGAGAAAGCAAGCAGGCACACAACAAGGTTAGCCCTCGGTCCCTGATACCCAATCCCGCCAGCCTGTCCCGTCCAGCTCCTCGATCTGATAGGCCCTAAATTCGCCGCATTGCAATATTCTATAGGGCCCCAACCATCTCTTGTCAAGCTTCCTCGACCATTGCTTTTCCAAAGAGGAGTCGTATAATAATACGACATCCCCTACTGCCAATGACTCCTTTCTTACTCGTGTCATCTGGTCCCACCTCATCTTATCTTCCATGCGACTTCTTTCCACCTGACCAGCGGCCTCTCGCAATCTTTCTTCGGCCGCCCCCACTTGTCGCGCCCGAATATCGAGCAGTTCTTCGAACAACAGGTTTACCTCCAAGTCCTGGCGCCTCCATGTCTTCATAAAGCTTTCTATGGGAAATGTGGCATGCCTCCCGTACCATAGTGTGGCTGGCGCGTACTTGGTAGTCCTCTTTACAGTAACATTCTCCACGAAGAAAGCTGCCCGTAGGAACTTCGGCCACTGACCAGGTTTGCCCTTTGTCCACTTAGCCAGGAGATTCGTGATGGTACTGTGCCCCCTCTCCACAGGAGCGTTCGCTTGAGGGTGTGCAGCCGTAGTATAGTTGGCCACTACGCCATACCCTGCAAGCAACGTCCTCACCTCATTGCAGGTAAACTATGATCCTCGATCCATCACGAACTCCCTGACAAAAGGGTATCGCACGTAATACTCCTCGATGCAGTTCGCCAAAACCGGGTCAGTCTTCGTCCGGATAGCTCGTCCGTCCACAAACCCAGTAAGGTTATCCCGTGCATCAAAGATGTAGTTACACCCATTCTCCCCTGCTGGCATGAATAACAGGTCCAGGTGCACGACCACACCCACTTCCCTTTCTAACCTTGGGTGTAAAGGTTCTCCAGGCCTTTGCGCCGACCTCTCTTGGCAAGGTATACAGGACCGGCAGTATTTGATAACCATCGTCAGCATCCCGTCCCAATGGTAGAGCTCGCTTATCTTCGCGCATGTGGCACGTACTTCTCTGTGCCCCCTTGCTATACCATCGTGTAGGGCCGCTATGATATCAATTTGCCGGTTTCTCCCACATACGATCCTCTTGGGGTTCCCGACCTGCCGCTTTATAAACAAGTGACCGTCTCTTACCACATAGAGGTGCCTCATCTTCTGTGCCTTGGCACTTGCATCTCTATCCCTCATCTCACATGATAGGAGCAACCCCAATTCCCGGTAGATCCCATCGTACTCCTCCGCCTGAAACGCCTCCTTGATTTCTCCTTCCTTGAATTCGTCGTCTCGGCTTTCAGGAACCAGAATCTCTGAACGAGCTCTTCCGGTCGAAGTCTCCCTGTAGGAGCGTATTGGTGAGCAGGTACATCCCTCTCATTAGCTGCTCATGCTCCTCTACCTGCGTGGGGTCTTCCTCTATTGTCCTCACTTCCTCCACCAGACTGTGCGTACCTGCCAACGCCAACTTCATCATCCAACCAACATCCTTACTTCCCCACGGATCCTCCTCATGAAAGGGCTTGAGGACTAACTCTTCCTTCTGCTCGTACCCCTTTGGTGCCAGCCATATGGGATGACTGACGCAACTAGGCAATCGCAGGGACCATTCGTTTATGTGCAGGTGGACGTCCTCCTCTTGATCGAAAAACCCATCAACTGGCGGCGTGTCTTCTATCGATTCCTCGTCCGATCCGTCCCAGTTGATGCGGCTTAACCCATCTGCCCTGTTCTTGTTCCCTGGGATCCTTTCCAGCTCGAAATTAAACATCCAAATGTAGGTCAACCATCTTGCGACGGTTGGATCAGATAGAGTATAATTCTTCAGGGAACATGCCAGTGCAGTAGGGTCCACCCTCAAGATGAGCCTCCTGCCAAAAACATAGTTCTGGAAGGTCCTTAGGCAATGAAGTACCGCCAGCGTCTCCTTCTTGAACTGAGAGTAGTTCCTCTTAGTTGTATTGAGGGTACGACTTTCGAATCTTAGCGGCCTCTCCTTCCCCTCTGTATCTGCCTGAATCAGGACCCCTCCCAGGGCAGTTGGCCCAGCGTCCGTCTCAATGACGAATGGTCTTTCCTCCGTGGCCTCATAGTTTGGCGCTCCCAATACCAAGCCTCCTTCCTTAAACTCTCCCTTTATCCTACCGACCGCCTCTTCCTGGTCTTCGCCCCAGACCCATTCTTGATCTTGGCGCACCAACTTCCTTAAATGCTCCGTCTTCGTGGCAAAGTCCTTCACGAAGCTCCTCCAAAATCCGCACGTCCCAAGGAAACTCCTCACATCTGCTATCGAGCGGAAGGGCACCGGCCACTCAAGAATCTTGTCTGTCTTCTTTACATCAGGTCTTCGCCCACTCTCATTACAGACAAAGCCTAGAATCGTGGCCTCCCTCATACAATGTTTCGACTTGGGGCCGCTCGCCGTCAGGTTATGTTCCCCCAATAACTCCAGAACCTGATCAATGTCTTGGACATGCTTCCAGACAAAGCGTCGCACACCGGGCATCACTTCATCTTCCTCCTTCTCCTTCGGACCTTTGACTGCCAGGTCATCGATATAGGGCTGAGTGATATGTGGGCTGACCGTCTGCATGGCTCTGATCATATACCTTTGCACCATCGCCACTGCATTCATCCAACCTTGAGGCGCCACGTTCATATGAATCAGCCCTCTAGGAGTGTGCATTGCCGTTACGGGTCTGTCTGGCGGGTATATGGGGAATTGGTCATACCCCGAGTAGAGGTCTATAAGCGAGATTATAGGCCTCCCTGCGCACGATTCTGACAATGCGTCCGCGTTCGGCAATCCCCCCGCGTCCTGCACTGTCACTGCATTTAGCTGTTGCAAGTCCTGCACCCACCTTAGCGTCCCATTTGGTTTAATAAAACAAAACCAAGGCGACGCGTATGGCCCACTGGAATAATCGGCCACGTGCGTCCGCATCTTGCGGTCCAGGTAGTCCACCACCATCAGCCCTATCTTCCTCCTCGGGTACTTCCCCAAGCCATCTCCGCTTGTTCTCTGACTCCTCAAAGGTGAACGAGCCTAGATTGGGCCTATTCCTCTCGCTCCCCAGCCCCGTGTTCCGGCAGGTGATAACTTCATAATTCTCACACGCCGGGTCACACAGGAGCAGGATCATTGTTTCATCGTGCTTGTTGAAGATCAACATTTCCGTCCGGCACAGGAATGACTGGCCCAGAAGGATGGGGTGATCGACATCGGGCATAACGAAAAAGCAAGTTCTGGCTCACACCTTCCCAATCTCTATAATCACATTTGACGTTGTGCCGCAAAAGGCGGCCTTGCAGTTAGCGCCGTGCAACACGCCATGGTTCGAGCGGTCGATCTCCATGCCTATCATCACTGCCTCATTTTCCCTGATGATGTTCATCTCTGCACCCTTGTCCACCATCCCAGTACACTTCAGGTTCCTTATCACCAAATCCACCTGCCCGCACGCCACACATTTCCAATCCATCCTTGTCCCTGCCTCAGTCCACTCTACCTCTCTAGGCAGGACCGTACTCAGATGGACATTTGGCACCAACCTTCGCGACAGTCGTCCCTTCAACTCACCATGGAGGCTTGGCGCCGAAGCCAGGATGTCCTTTAGGTTCATCAAGTCATTGTGGCCTTCCAGGAGCTTGTCCACCATCCGCTCCACATCAAAGCCTTCCTCCATCCGGACCGCGTACTTCTTCCTCTTAGGCACGCTGTCAGGCACGCTTGGCTCGGCCTCCTCCTGGGCCCCCCTCTTTTTGGCCCTCAGCTCCGCCCGCTGATCCTCCTCTTGTCGGAGCCTCTCATCCTCTTCATCGTCATCCTTTTCCTCTTCCTCCGGAACCTTCACCACCTCCTTCCTACGTCCAGGCTCCGGCTCCTTTCGAGGGGGTGCCTAACTGGGCACCTGACTGGGCTCTTGACTATGCCCAGCCTTATTTTGGCTCCTGGTCCTAGCCGCCTGCGGCACCCTCCCATGCGACGTGGGGGGTCTATAGGTCATACATGACCTAGGGCCCGTCCCTACAGTCGCCACTCTTGGGCACCCTTGTTGTCCTGGCGAAGGCTCTGGCCCGGAGTCATAAAGGAAGACCTCAGGCAGGTTGGCCTCCCACTCTCGGGCTTCTTCACACAGGGCTTGCAGCTTCCGCTGGTATCTCCCCACCTTTTCCAGCAGATCTTCCATCCTTCCCAGGAGGAGTGTGGACGGCTCTCCTTCGCCTTTCTGCCCCTCATCGTCCAATTTGACGACTATTGGCTCCTCTCTTATAGTCCCCGCCTTTAGTCGCTGAGTGACCTCCTCGCTATCTCCCACAATCTCCTCAACTTTTATGGCCAACTCTCCTTTYTCCTGCCACATCCTRAACATGGTCGGGGTTGYCGATGGCCCTGYCGCCGCTCGCCTAAGAGCTYCTTGCCTGATTCCTCCCGGGGTCCTAGGGTCRATATGCTCTCCCCACTTATCATATATATMYCCGTCCAYACAAGAGGAAATTAGACCTGCCAACTCATCATCTCGCCGCCGTTGGCAGAACCGTATAGTGTGGCCCACCTCGCTACAATGCCAGCAGGTGGCGTTTCGCCACTCAAAGCGGGGCCTCCCATACCCTTGGCCCCCCTCTTGGCCACCTCGGCCGCCTTGGTTCTGACCCCCCTGACCATTCCAACCACCCCCGCGATCCCCACCATTTCCTCCTCGGCCTCGGCCGCCACCCCCTCGACCCCCGTGACCTCGGCCCCTATTGCCTTGTCCGCCTTGTCCTTGGTTTCTTCCACTGGCCACGCTAACCTGCGAGGCCTGTTGGGAGGGAGGTGGTTGGGCCATAAACTGACCCTGAGCCGCAGGGTAGCTCGGGGGCCCCATACTTGCCGTTGGGCCCGCTTAAGGGACCATTTGCCCGGGCTGAGTCTGACTATCCCCGCACGAGGCGCAGTGATTACAAACTGGGCCAGTACGTAGGCTGACAATGCGGCACCCAATGCCCACAAGCCGGAGGCGGCCCCATACATGACGGCCCGGCCGTTGCTGACGTTGTCGTGGCTGCAAGTGGCGGCGCAGCAATCGCATGCGGGACCTGTCCTTTTCCGGATCCTTGACCCCCCACTTGTAAATTTCGCTGCTTCCTCTAGGCCTTGGTTAGAATCTGGGAGCCCGTCTCTTCTCCGCCATAGTCCTCGCGCCTAGCCTCCTCTTCCACTGCCCCCGACGCCCGGCCTTGGGCCACGGTCACTCCCCTCTTCTGCACTTCCGCCTCATTATCATACCCCAGCACTGCCAATACGTCCATGACGATCCTCTTCACCCCTGGGGTCCCGAACGCGGTGGCGTCCGTTTCCTTTCTCTTGCGTCTTTGCAGCCGCACCTGGTGCTGCTCCACCTGGTCCAGTCTCCCCTCCTCCACCCCTTTGTCGATAGTGGCCCAGGTGATTTCTCATTTCCCCCTTCGTGACCCGTCAGCTCCGAGGCCTCCGAGCCAGTAAGCAGACCCAAAAATATGGCACACTGCGTTTCTTCGGAGATCCCGTGCACCTTCCGCGCCTTCTTTTTAAACTCGTGCACAAACGCCCCAATCGTGGAGAAAATCCATCCCCCAACCTGTACTTTCTCTGCATCATGTCCCTGAACCTCGCCCAACTACCATTGGCGGCATCCACGACCTTGCCCACTTCCTGATGGTGGCTATGAAGGACATATCTTAAGACTCGCTGAAGCTTGACCTCGTCCGACAGCCCCACCAGTGCTTGCTCCGTCAGGTCCAGCCAGTCGGACATCCGTTCTCCCTTGAAGTGGAAAGTATCAACCTTCGGAACATTGCTCGGCGCCCTCTCGCGCTTATCCAGGGCATCGATGAGGTCGTCGAGCGTTACAAGCTTTCTCCCACCATCCGCCATCTCCTCAGGCATTTTGATTAACTGCCTTCGGCTTCAATCCCCCTGTTATAAGAAGCGATAGGACGAAAGGTTCCACTCAGCAGTCCATTCCTTCATGATCCTACCAGACCGACCACCTAAGCACCCAACGCTTTGGACCTGGCAGACATTTCTCTCTCTACTTCCTACCTCCTTTGGGTTCACCTAAGTAAGACCCATTCTCATCACAGAATTCACTCACATACTCGTCTCGTTCATGCCATCAACCAAACCACCAATCAGATCAACATTCATACCCACACAGCCATATAGACTACTATACAACCCATCTCATAGTTCTTCTCTTATTTGCTCACGTACCTATTTCTCTCTCATTCTCATATTACCCGGATGTCGTTCCCACAGGAACGGCGGTAGGCTTCCGTTATCCCCGGCAACGGCGCCACCTGTCGAGCACATCGGTCCGGCACCGCACATGGCAGCCCGGGACCCTCTCGGCCG